CCCCCGTGCCCCTTTTGGGGGGGGTGTGTGCAGGGCCTGCCTTGCTCAGGGACCCGAGCGGCGCCGGCAGTGCTGTGGGGCTCGCCGGTGAGAGCGGGGCCAAAGGGCTGCTCGGGGCGGTGGCGAGTGCAGTGGGGCTTTTTGGGAGTGTGGCGTTGGTCTGCTCCTCCAGAAACCTGTCTCCTGTGTGAAGGTATGGAAAGTGAAGGCGGATGCACCCTGGTAGCGGTGGGGAACCTTCATTCCAGCAGCTGGAGAGGCCTGCACAGGTCTTGGAGGAGCTCAGTGACTCCTGACTGCTCCCTAGGAGGAGACCACCATCAAAACCCTGGCCTTCATGGCAGCAGGGTCTTCAGTTGGGGGATGCTTGTGCTTTTCTGCATCTTTCCTCTCTTAATTTTTTTTTTTTTTCCTTCTTGATGAAAACAGTGTATTTCCATGTTGGTGATTAGCCATTTTGTAGAGTTGAGAGAGCTACTCCCTGGGGAGCCAAGTCAGCTTTTCCTGTTAGGTGAGAGAAATTCTGGCTACAAAGATCCCCACCTTTACAAATTTTTCCTGCATCAAGCTTTTTTTTTTTTTTTTTTTTAAATGAAGGTGCACTGTGGTGCAGTTCTACCCCCTGACAGTTTTATGAGACATAGATTGTTGTAGCTCACTCTGATGACAATAACCTTGGGTGTGGTGGAAAGCCTGAGAGGGGAAGTTGATGCAGTAGCCAGTTTTTCTATTGGTTGCACAATCTGGGACAAAACTAGAGACTTAACGTTCTTTCTGCTGTGCTCTTTGGGATCCCTCAGGGATGTTGCATGCTCCCATGAGCAAGGCCAGGCCTGCAGGTTGTCTAATGCGTTCACTGGCTCAGAGAACCTCTCCATTTCTCACTGGTGGAAGCTCATTGTGTGGTGAGCTTGGCGATGGTTTGGTGGCGCACAGGGTGACCTCATGCTCCTGAGGTTGGCTAACACTGCAAAGCTGGAGGGGCTGTGAAGGTGCATAGTGCCCTGCTGATGCCTCCTACAGAAGGAGTTGCTGCAACAGCAAATGCTACAGTGACTGCTGCGCATCCAGTAGCTGGAGAGGTGTGGGGAAGTACGCCCTCAATATTTCCTCTTCTTTATTTCATTTGGTATGTTCTTTGGAAACAGGAAAGAATCGGAGGCTGAAGCAGGCAAAAGAAGAAGCCCAGGCAGAGATTGAGCAGTACCGCCTGCAGAGGGAGAAGGAGTTCAAAGCTAAGGAAGCAGCGGTTTGTTTTCTAGATCATTCACTGTTACCTATCCAGCCCCTTAGCCTTGGGTGTTTGGGGTTACTTGCCCTGAGAGCAGCCCTCAGGGTGGAACGTGTTGCTGGAGGAGTACTTCCACAACTGCCTTCTTCTGATGCACAGCCACGTGTCATGGAAAAAACAGTGGAAGTGAATCAGAACACATGGTGTATTGCATCTCAACAGCTAGAACTATTGACTGGCAGTGAACTAGCTTAATAAGCTCATGTACTGGCTGGTGCCCTGATGGGTAGCAGCCTCCCAAAACCTGCTGTGTGCAGCAGTGTCAAAAAAAGACCAAGCTCATTCCTTCGGTGACAAGCTGGTCTACAATGCTAATGTGGTAAAACCACTTGCCTCATAGATGCTGCTGTCTTGCTTAAGCAGTTGTAAGGCTTGTATTCTGCTCAGCAGTATTGCCTGCTGTGTCCCAAAGGGGTTTGTTTTCCTTTCATTCTGAGCAGGAGGAGGTATTCCCAAAAGGCGCAGAGCTGGGGCCTTTCACCAGCCAAGGGCTGTAGCACAGTCAGGATGTTTCCACTGCCTGTGTGCCCCTGTTAGTTCTGAAAACTTCAGAAAATGACCTGGCAACCCTCTCCTCTGTCCGTCTTCTGGTTAGCACAATACCACCTCCTCTGTTCTCCTGCATAATGGCCTCCATGTCAGTAGGTTGAGATTAATTTTTTACAATCACTTGTTAGCTTGGTTCACTAGGCGTATGATGCCAGCCAATTCCAGGCTAGTAAAGTGGACTTCACTGCCTGTCAGCTGGTTCTGTTTTATTTTTCCTTCTCCAGAGAGGGAAGCTCTTTGAATTTGAGTGCCAGAGTGCTAGTCTCCTTCAGTCTACTTTTTCTGTGCCTTTTCCCCGCACTTATAATGGGAGTTTGCTCTCCCTGCCCCTGCTTATGGGGCAAGAAGGACATTGTAAGCTGTGAGGGACCCCTTGCTGGGTGTATCATGTGGCCCACAGTCCTGTTAGGAAGGCAGAGATTTCTATAAATATTCTCCAAGAGTAGAAGCAATGAGATGATGTAAAGACTGTGCTTAAACTAAATCATGGGTGTTACTTTTCTTACACTATCTAGTACAGTAGTGCCCAGGGGTTCCTGGTTCCAGTCGCCAGTACAGCAGGGCCTTTATTTCAGGCACTCTTTAGAAGCCCATGCTCTAAACTGATAGATGATGAATAAGAGATGATAAAAGGCATTGGCTGTGGATAAAATACAAACTTAGGCAAGTTTACTGGGATATCTGAGTAGAGAACCCAGTGGTACTTTTTTTTTTTTAGTGCAGTTCTTCCCTCAGCAAAGATGAATGGTTGAAATGCAGTGAGGCAGTCCAGAACAACAAAATCCAGAGCTAGGCATAGAGTTTTCTTTGTCAAACTACTTGCATGTGAGCTTTCTCTTTCCTTTGCTATTTGTAGGCACTTGGATCTCATGGCAGCTGCACCACTGAAGTTGAGAAAGAGACTCAGGAGAAGATGAGTGTGATCCAGCAGAACTTCCAGAAGAACCGTGAGGTGGTCCTCTCCCAGCTGTTGTCGCTAGTTTGTGACATCAAACCTGAAATCCATGTGAATTACCGCATCAATGGGTAGTAGTGGAAGAAGGAATGGGCATACTGGAAATGCTGGTAGTAATGTCTGAGCTTCAAGTGGAATGTACAGCTCTTAGCCATACCTTCACTGTTCTGTGTTAAATTATTTCATTGAGTTGTAGGTCATCAATATCTTGTTGGAGTTCTGTTAGTTTCTCTCCTGACACAGATTCAGAGCTTATTCAAACATTAAATGGCCATGTCTCAAATCTGTGTTAAGTTATTAAATATATATTCAAGTTGGCACATTAATGCTCCCTTTTTATCTGGATAGTATTCAGTGAGAGGCTTTCATCTGAGAGAGATGCTGACCAGGTTTAAATGGAGAGCCTGTGTCAGTAATTGTTAGACCTGTGTAACTGTATCCTTGTCGACCAAAATGCATTTTTCAGTGTGCTGTTAACCTTTGTACGGGGATTAAACCTTGTAAGAAGAATTCTCTGGCTGTACAGTGCTGGCTGATAATTTTCAGGTGCTTGAGTTTCTCTGTATTGAATATACTCTGTATATTCTGCTGTTAGCTTGAGTTACAAGTTTGACAATATGACACTTGAAAGTAAAAACACTTATTTAACTCCAAAGTCTCTAGTCGGTCTTGTTCCTGCTAACTTGTTCTCAGAGTACTGACAGGTCTCACTGTGTTGCATGGGAGTCTGGACTCTGAAGAAAGAGTATCAAGTATTGATAAAAGAAAGAGTAAGAGATACAGAAAATGTCTGAAGGTCGCAGCAGGTAAGTTAAAAACCATTACAGAGCTCCTCCTCTTGGCTCCAGTCTGATGCTCTACCTGCCAGATCATTCTGAAAACCTTCAGGAACAAATGTTCTTGTGACCATTAGGAGAAATAAAATGTTGCCAGTTCACTAGAATAGTTTGATAGCCAGGCATTGTGCAGTAATTGTCCTCCCTTTAGTCAAGTACTGGTCACTGCTTGGTTCCTGCTGTACCCGGGAACAGTGTGAAATAAGTGGTGGGACTGTCCATGTGTAGCTTCTTGCCGCTGTAATCAAAAGTACCCATGAATACATCAAGAGGTTTCATGTTTCAGCTGTTTCTTCCTCTCCCTTTCTCACCAGCAGAATATTAAATGTAGCTCTGCTTTTTTGCTGAGTTCAGTTTAAGGCTTTTTGCAGAAAAGAGACATCGATGAGCACATACCTGATCAGACCCAAGAGTCATGCAGTTGGGGGTCTAAGCAAGAAACTTTATTGATGCTGTTCCTCAGACAGAACATCCTATATTGCCACACACCCACAGCACAGCATTGAAAAGCTGCTCAGATCTGTAGAGTTTGATTGTGATTGGGAGGGAGGAAAGCAGGATGGGTGAAAGTCATAACAAAGGAATGAATGTCTGCCTGCAGTCACACAGGACAACGAAAGAGTAGACTGCTATGGTATCTCCTGTTGTAACATTTTATGGTAGTATACTGTGGTTCTGAAAGGATCTCTTTAGGAATTCAAGCTATTAAATGGGTTGTGAAATTGAAACAAAAGCTGCCTGCAAAGTCAAATGTGCCAGGCTGGGGAAAAAGCTAGGTTGGTACAAGGAGAACAGGATCAAAGCAGTTTTAATCAGTCTGGTCTAATGACTGGTGAGGTGCTATGGCCTTGTAAAAGGTTGCAGCAATGCTAATTCTACTCTGTCCTTTGGAGATGAAACATTTCTTCCTGTTGAGAACAGGTGCTCAGACTCCAGCATGATACTCCTAATAGGAGTCCACCTAGCTCCAGGCTGTAATTAGCAATTTCATCCTGTTTGTTTATCAGAAAAAGATTGCTACTCTGTCCAGTAAAAAATATGGTCCATGCCCCACTTTCTCTTGTTGGTTCATAAGTTTCCCTTTGTTAATGAGGACTGCTGTCCTTGCTCTCTAGAATAGTAAGAGGCAGGAGAAAAGGAAAAACCCTTCCCTGATTATTTCCTCTTGGCAAAAGATGGTGTGAAGACTTCCCCCTTCAGAACAATGTGTTGCAAGAATATACTTTTTTCTGTAATATTTCCCTGAAACTTAACTGTTGAGAATTACCAGACTCTATAACTTTGAACAGAAGCGAGTATTTCCAGTTATTGATCTCCAGGAAGGCTGGCTTTGTTTGCAGTGTAGATATTTTGTTTTAAATTGAGATTCTCATCTTAGCTGTGATGCTCTGGGAAAGGGAGACCTACTGCTATCTTTGTGCCTAAGCCAGGCTGTGCCAGAAAAATACTCTGCAGGGAACAGTTTTCTACTGACAGAGGTATGGAGCTGGACATGTGACTTCTTGCCTCTGAAATCTGAGTTTTCTAGACTTTCTGCAGCAAGTTTGATTAGTAAGAGTAAAACCTACTCCAACTGCTAGTATAAATCTGTCTCGGAATTCTCCCTGCTGCTGATCCGCCTCCATAATCCCTCGCAGATGTATACAAATGGCCCCATGTATATGAGCCATAGGTTGCTTTTGTACCACGGAAAGGGCCGGAAGCTGCTTTGGGCACATATACCGCTGATTCCCTTAACTTGAGCTCTCATCCCTGGAAATACCGGCTGACTGCCAGGACGGTCAGAGTCCTGGTGCTGTATGGAGGTAAGAAGTGGTCAGCACTCGTGTCTTGTTTGGTTCGTGCGATGTGAAGTGAATGGCTGCTGCGGTTGATTTCTCCCAGTTAAAAATGCTTGCAAATAAGCACTTTCCTGGGATCAGTGCAGGCGTATTAGGATTTAAGGTGCCGTTTGGCTCCCGTCACGTCTATGTTCATCAACAATGGTTTGGAGTTGATTTTTGTGGAATTTCTTTTCACACATTATCTATATATTTATAGAGTTAATACTTTTGGCTTTTAAAATACCATTGAGAAGGCATGTCATCAGTACAAGCACCAGATGGACAAATGGCTTATTAACACCAGAATATGAGTGTCAGCTGGATGGCTTAACATGCTGTACGAGGTACAATTAGGACACAGATTTGTGCTGTTTGAAGCCAGAGTTCAATTTTTAAGGCACGTCTGTGTTGACAGAGCTTGCTCCCTGCTTAGCTTGTGCTGTTTGGTCTGAAGGGCAGTGTCTCCTTCTCTCTGCTGCCTGTTTAAGCAAGGAGTTAAAGAGCTCAGCACCCCTCTGGGAGGGGAGGCAGAGGGGAAATCAAAGCCCCGGATCCTGCTCAGGTCTGTCACCTCTGATCTGTCTAATGATGCTTAATATTTTTCTTTTTTTTTGGTCAGTTCAGAGCCGGCATGGGTTTGATCCCCCTGTGCGTTTGTTGCAGTTAAATCCAAAAAACATGAGAGAAAGGTCTAGCAATGGACAGGAGGGATGAAATGTGGTGTGTGCAGTGATGGAAAGGAGGTCCCTCCCCAGTCATTCACATCCTGGGTGATCCCACATGGGGCTGCAGAAAGCAGGCAAAGGGCAAGGCGGTGCCGCTGCTGGAAGATTCATTCAGTGTGGCATGTCAGGAGAGTGTGCTGCTTCCAGTGTTTGGTTCATGGGACTTCCTGTGACATTAGAACAATTACCATTTAATTATTTCTATAGGACCATTTTGTGTATATTTAACTTGTAATTTTTTTTGTTTGTTTCAAAGAAAGTAATTTTCTCTTCTAAAGAT